TGCAGGTTTTATAATAAATTTATTATAACAAGTTGAAACAACCTAAAAAGTTAACACATAATATGAGAGCAAGAGACGGAGAGAGTGCACAGATTTTGTTGGAAATCGATTCTCAGCTTTCTTAAATAGTTATCTGCTTTGACACAAATTACCTTGAAAAACAATGAAATGTCTATGCATATATATCGGAGGTATTTTCAAAAATAGTTGCCCGGAAAGGCAATAAAATTATTCAATGAATGTGTGACTATTTGAATCAACGTCTGCTCTTTTGACTGAGAAGCTTGTATAAAACTATAAAGAGTAAATATCCGTCTGTATGAATTATATCGAAAAAAATAACTGAGATCTAATAACATTCTTTTATCGGTCTAGTCGTGAAAATTGAGTTTCGATACTCTTATGTGGTAACAGGATTAAAGATTGACAATTCTAATAAACATGATTCTGCAACACAATATTTCTGCGCCAAACATAGTATCTATCTATCTATCTATCTATCTATCTATCTATATAAATATAAATGTGTGCATGAATGTGTGCGTGCGTTGTGGAGTAGCTGAACACATTATAACATTAGTGTGTTCCCAACCACTTGTACTATATATATATATTCCAAGTTATGAATGCCCCTTTTCAGATGAGGCTGAATCTACGTTACTAATTGTCATTACGGTATAAAACTGCTCAAACTTGTCGACATTGTTAATTGAGCATAGGGTTAGGTAGAGACAAATGGTGAATTTTGCAGAACTGATCACTGTAATGATGTAGGCAGTAAATGTTCTGACGGAAGCAAATTATGACATGTGTGTGTTCTAGATACTTTTAAGGATGCGGGGTCTTAAATTATTTTTATCTATTGATTGTTTGTTTCGCAATATGTGTATTGCTACGTTGATCATAAATCATTTTTTACTATTTTAATATTTCATTTTGCTAGAATACTGTGAGTAGATATCTAATGTTACTGTGATACTTATGCTTCTTATTGATGTGTTGTCTGACAGCTCTCTAGTCAATAGGTGGCGGGTGAATCTCCGTACGAATTTGGTGGTGATATATACTAAGTAAGACGAATTGTGTGGGTTTTTTATACTATTTACGGAATGATATTCTACAAGTGGGCAAGAATATACATACACAACATTTTTGACGGAATTTCCTCAAAATCTGCGAAGGATTATTCGTAATTTTTATGCGTCGATCAATAAAATTGACCAATGCAAAATGTGTGCTGTCTTTAATAGCACACACACACACACACACACACACACATATATATATATATATATATATAATGGACTCTTCTGTCGGTCGTATTAGTTGATTCAATTATGAAATTTTGTGCGATAATCGTAAGTGGCATTTAAGACCCTGGAGTGATAGAGGATAGTGAGTTGAGACCACTGTTAGATTGGCTGACCTTTTAGATCTTGCTCTCGCTTCTTGAAGATGATTCAGACACGCAGATTGAAAACTGCTGAGTACACTAAAATACGTTGATTTCCGTTCTACCGGCTCTAAGGGTAAGCGTTCTAATGTGGTATATTGACAGGTGACAATTTGCTTTTCAGCTTTTCATTTTATCTTAGACATGGGCGTCCTACATTCCTGTAGCTCTAATCTAACTGGCTGTATATTAGGATCTTGGGTATCCTGTCATCAGACATTCTCAATACATGACCAGTCCACCGTAACTGAGACTGAATGAGTCTTGATTCCTCCAATATTACACTTGTTAAACAGGTCTACGTTAGATGTCCTATCTTGAAGGTTTACTCCACAGATTGCACGCAGACAGCTTTTATGGAAAATATCCAGCTGGCGTATATAATTCGGGCTCCGTAAATTCCAGCCACTTCATATTTTAATTTCGCCCCTGTACCTTGTTAGGCTTGTTTTATTTTGTTTTTTGTTATTTTATTTCAATTAATGAAGATAATGATGCGTTTTTTCCAACCAAAGAGCGTCTCCTTTTCTTTAATGCGATTACTCAAATTATTTGGCCGCAGTTGTAAAGAAATAATATACCGTTTAATAAATAAATTGGAGCGTCTACTTAAATATGAGGATCCACTAAAGAAGATTTAAATCGGTAAAATATGCCGTATTAATAATAAAAATACATATTTTTTTTACAAATATATATATGTATATATGAATCGATGATATTGACTAAATACAACAATAGATACATATATATATATATATATATATATATATATATATATATATATATATATATATTATTGATTGAGAGTCACTTTGAATATATCATAAGTACTGTCAATCAATGGACTGCGATAATATAGTTTTTCTTTTAAAAGTAAAAGGCCAGAGGCTGATTGATTTGAATGAAGCATTTCAAACTGATTTCTGCCATCTTTATTTAATATATAGTATAAATGACAAATGGTTGTTGTTACAGAAATTAACATAAATATTAATATCCAATAAAGATTTCATACATTACTATTGTTCAGGTCATTCATAAGATGCTTTGATGATTGTATTCTCTAATTCTTTTTCAATATTTTATAAATGTCATATCTTATTGACTGAAAATGTCTGAAAAAATACAATTATAAGTATTAAAAGTACAAACTGAAGAGCTCATCGCCATTTTTATTCCAATATTTACTTTAAGTTGCATTAATTTGATTTCTATTCTTACTTGACAAAAACTTGAAATGACTGAAGGAAAAAAATCCTGTTTTACGAGAAATTTATTTTTTACCATTTATTTTTTGTCTTAAGTCTAAAGAAAAGATACTTATATCTACAGCAAAATGTCCTATATTTTCAAACTATTTTTGAACTAAACAGAATACGACGTTTCCTATATATAAAGTGTTTCAAATTGATTTCTAGATGTAATGGTCTGCTGATCTTTGAAATGTCTGTTGTCAGCTAAGTCGGATGGTGGAAAATGCAATCTGATGGTCTGAAGATACACCTTTCCAAAGTGTTGAAGTGTTCTTCTCGTCCTTGTTTATCAAGATGTGATGCTATTAGGACTTTGTGGCATTGCCATGGGTTAATGCATATTGATTAGGAAACTTGGTGTGAAGGCATAGAAGGCTATTGTCCTATATAAACTTTTCGATAACGATCAGATTTCCGTGGGAGAACGATGGATATGAAACTTTGTGTACGTCATTGATACCAAGCTTGGCATTCATATCACCACCATTAATAAGTAGGTTATGGTTTGGGACGAATCTGAAAAAAAAGTCATTGATAGAAATGTGTTATGCTCCACTAGGTTGCGGTAAAAGCCAAATACATAGTTTATCATTTCATGCCATCTACAACTGACTGACATCTTGCATTCCAATGAATCTTGAGTCACATGGTCTACTTCTAGTTTCATTAGAGTTTTCCATTTCAAATGTTGATTACAGGTCTATGATGATTACACTAGGCCTATGATGTTCCATCTAGCTCTGGTAGCAACTGGTTGGACGTAATTATAGCTTACAAGAAGCCTGTAACAGGCATGGTGTTATCGATTAAGATGTAACTAAGTAAAAGTCCGATTATCCTCTGTAATTATAAAATTTATCCTTAACACATAGGGATTATACGTAGGCATAGGAGAAGATGAGGTGAATCAGAATCTTTGTCCAGTGCCTATTTGTGATAATGATAAAATGTTACATTATATATATATATATATATATATATATATATATATATATATATATATATATATATATAGGGTGCAGTAGATGAATTGTTGACTAAATTACGCAAAAACGAAAATAACAGTGACATCTCACTTTAAAAGTTATCTTTAACAAAACTACACAAAAATATACTGAAATGCTAAACAGTAAATTTATTCAATAAAATCGTTATTGGTTTCAACCACAGCCTCCGGACTTCGGAATCTCTTGCAACTATTCTGAATGGTCCCCTTGTTTAAGTTGGTGAATGTTGCCATAATCCATGCCTTCAGTTCATCTTTGGTGCTTCAAGGAATTTTGTTGGTCTCTCGTTCAAATGTGTGCACAGATAATAATCAAGAAGTTTGCAGTTCGGTGAGTTAGGTGGCCAGATTTAAGGGGTGATATAGTTGCAGAAATTTTCTTAGAGCCATGACTGAGTCCTCCATCTTGTTTGGCATTGTGCAGAGATCTGTTGCCAGATATAGCGTCTTCCAGTAGCCAGAATTCTGAGCCAGGTCAGCACTATCTTCTCAAGGCATGATGCAGGCCTTCATGTTTTGTCGTACGCCCGGTGGGAAGATGAATGGATGCATCACGTCGACATAATGAGTGATTACTCCAAACGCCATGATGTTGAATCTTTCCGAATCCTCTGATCTGGACTGAGATTCACGCCCAAGCATTCTGAAATGATCGCATTGGAGCTGGCGCTGCGAATGTCAAACAGTGCAGCATGCCATTTTCCAATTTCAAGCGAAGGGAATTGCCTCAATTTTCTCACAAACGGTGACTCTACTATACTGTACGGTTGACAAAATAAAAAGAAAATCAATGTGCATAACCGTAATTGAAAATATAAAATGACGATCTTAATACAGTTCAGACATATAGGAGACAATATTAATCGAATGTAAACATGTATTGGAACACACACACGCACACACACACACACACACACACACACACACACACATCTCTCTCTCTCTCTCTCTCTATATATATATATATATATATATATATATATATATATATATATATATATATATAGCACTTCCTATGATGGTAAAAGGTTTTTTTTTTCTAAATTATTTGTTAAAATGTTACATTTCTTTTCTTCTGGATTGTATATATATATATATATATATATATATATATATATATATGTGTGTGTGTGTGTGTGTGTGTGTGTGTGTGTGTGTGGACGGACAGCTCCCTTTCATTTAAATATCTTTTTCGCTGAATATGACAGACAAGGACAATTTATATTATTTATTATTTTCAGGTCTCTTACATTTTTTTTCCGTTTGAAAGTAGTTACCGAATTTTCACATTGTCTATTGACCCAAGCGCTTTCGGACAATTTTTCAGGCATTTTCCCGTTAATTACTCTTCGTGTTTTGAATGCTTAAGACATACATACATACATATATATATATATATATATATATATATATATATATATATATATATATATATATATATTTATATGTTTGTGTATTTTATATTTATATATACATACATAAACAATATATAAACTATTTGCCAAGATATAAATGATTCTAAACTTATAGCAAAAAATCGTTAATCAGTTTAATGGGTAAAAAACAATGTCTTCGATCATTACTTTCGCCGAACATCGCTAATTTTGTTAATTTTTTTCTGTACTCAAATAAACTCGTCAGATAGAGATTTTCGTACAGATGCCATGTACTTCACCAGACTTTGATATTTCTAAGCTGTCGCCTGTATACAATCTTTTTTTTTATGATCAATGGTTAAAATGGCTTTAATAAGTTTGGGACAAAATTTTAATTATTTTTTCTTTTGTATACTTTGTGAATTTATTTTTAT